ATACTGTTGGGTGAGAACCCTCCCTCTCTCTGATTATGTTCTCATGCTTTTGTTTTTCCTAAGCCTCTATATTTGTGCATCTTAGTACTTTGTTTCATTGATACTTTTTCCTCCTCCCCTGTGGAAAGAGAGGCTAGGTAGTGTCTTGAGGATGGTTCTCTTTCAGAGATTGTTGTCAAGGGAATGCCTTCCACATTTTACTGGGGATTTTTCTGTGATGAGGGCTGGTGTTTGCAATGTCTATCGGAGCCAGATAAGAGGAAAGACTAGTTAGAACAGAAAACAAACAAGTGAGGTGTACAGAACTCCCTGAGACTAAGAAGCAAGAAATACTAAGGGAGAGTGGGAAACGTGGGTGAGGTCCTCCCTTCTCTGGATGTCTACAGTAGGCAGGGCTTGTAAGAGCAAGGCCAGGCAATCTTTGACGCAGGCCTTTGAAGTGTGAAGTGGAGCCATAGGAAGACAAAAGGAAACTGAATCAAAACTAAATATATGGTCTTAGTTAATTCTTATTTCCTAGGAGTAAAACCTGAGACAGCCTGTCAACTAACCCCTAGAGCTGAATTTCAGACACGCCTAACCCAAACCAAAGTCCCTTTGCCTCTACTGGGGATGGAGTTAAAAGTGGGGTGTGTTGTTTTTTAATATGTGAGCATTAATGTATTTTATTTTTCAATGTAAACATGAGCTTTATAGGTCATTTCTAAATGATAACAGATGGTGGAAAGATTATATATTCAAGGAAAATAATTAACCATAAGGCATTGAAGTAACTTGAAGTAGCAATGTCACTTCACTTTGTGCTTCAAATCGGACTCAAAATAAGAATATTTTTTCATTTACAAATAAATGTATGTCATATACCAATCCCTGCCTCTGAGGAACACCTCTCTGCTCTCTGTGCCTTTGACATGGAGTTTTAGATGCCACATACTGTGACTAGCTTAGAGCTGCTTTTCATATTGGTTATGGTGTATTTTTGTATATGGGATAACATTAATGTTAATGATAACTACTTGGGAATTTTGAGGGGTTAGTGCTCTTTCATCTTCTATTGAATAAACTGAAGGAAAGTGGAGTGAGAGAGTCAACAGAAAGAGAGGGTTTGTTGACACTCTCACTCCACTTTAGCAACAACAACAAACAAACCTACATGGATTCCTGTGTGCCTGAAGTTAGGTGGACTCATTCCACAGCCATTGGCAGCACCAGACAGTACCAGAGCCTCCTAAACAGGGGCAGCACCCACCGTAAAGAACGTTTAAGAAACAAGTTTCTCATGTAAAAAAAAACAAAAACAAAAAACCCTCAAATATTCAAGTGGCCACTTCCTGTCATCTGTGGTGGAATAAAGGAAGTCAGATGATCCCTGTCATGTGGAAGGAAATAGCAAATGTGGAAGGAAATAGCAAAAATGTGAGAGATGTCTCCCACCCACCCCCCCGCCCTTTCTCTTATTCATCTGCCTTGTTCTGTCTATGGTTGACCAGCTTCTACCCTCGAGTAACTGATCCCCCAGTACAAATGGCTGCTCTCCTGAGATGCTCTTGGGCATTTTGGAAGTTCCTATTCTACTTGCAGATGGTTCTGAAACAATCAGAACAATGGGTCAGTTACACCAACTGTGACCCACAGAGAGTTCCTTCTTGTTCTGTTCTACTGCCAAACCATGTGCAGTTTCATTGTCCAATATCACTTATCTGCAAGTCTTCAATGAGATTAAATTGCCTCATTACGGGATATTAACAAAATACAGGCTCAGACAATACGGTGAATATGAACCACTTGGAAAATTGCTGCTAATTTAAGAGATCACAGATCCTCCAGTCTTTGAATAGGGAATCAATGTAAAGGCAAATGGTGTTTTGCTTTTTTTTTTCCCTGTGTAGCCGGCACAGGACAATTATGGAGGACAATTATGATGTTCCTCTGGGTTAGCAAAGAAAGCCCACAAGTGTATGTGTGAATGTATATAGAGATATCATTTGGAAAGACATGTGTGTAGATACCACCATTGCCATTAATTAAAACCATTGTAAATCATTTCAGAGCTTCAGATTGGAATGTAACAACAATTTCTACCAGTTAGTTTTTATTTTTTAAGATTTCTTTTAGGCCTGGAAAGATGGCTCAGTGGGAAAGAGCACTGGCTGCTCTCCCATCAGGCCCAAGTTCAATTCCCAACCCCCATATGGTAGCTCATAACCATCTACAATTCCAGTTCCAGGGAATCTGGCACTCTCTTCTGGCCTTTGCAGGGAGCATTGTGAAAGGGGTACACAGACAAGCATGTATGCAAGCATCCATATACATAAAAAATAATCAAATACATTTATTTTTAAAATTTAAGAGTTATTTTATTTTTATTTTTAAATGTTTATTTATTTAAAGGATTTATTCATTTTTATTTCATTTACATTGGTGTTTTGCCTGTTTGTGTGTCTGTGTGAGGGTGTCAGATCCCCCGAAGCCTGAGTTACAGGCAGTTGTGAGCTGCCATGTGGGTGCTGGGAATTGAACTCAGGTCCTCTGGAAGAGCAGCCAATGCTCTTAACTGCTGAGCCACCTTTCTAGTCCCTGTTTTATTATTTTTAGTTGTGTGTAGGTGTGTGTCTACATGTGGGTGTGTGCATGTGAGGGCAAAGGCCCAAAGTGGCCACAGGCATCAGACCCACTGGAGCTGGAGTTACAGGTGGTTGTGAGACACCAGATGTGGGTGATGGGAACCAAACTTGGGTCCTCTGAAGAGCAAGGGCTCTGAACTACCAAACCATCTCTCCAGGCCCCTCTACAGTTCATTTTAAGACATTCTTTGTCAGAATAGTTTTTTGAGAATGAGAATATTTTTGTTTGTTTTGTTTTTACATTGGAATACCATATGCTTATAACACTTTCTTTTTTCTTGTATTTTTTAAATCAACAGAAGAGCATAGGATTTTTAAGGCAAGCATAGATGCAAAGACTTTAAAGGGGAAAGAAGGTCAAAATATGCAATCGGAAAAGCTAGCAGATAAGTGTGCATTACCAAATGGCAATCTGAGGCAGAGAGCCCTCACCTGCTCTGGAATGTGCTGCACATGCAATGTGGTAATATTGCTTAAGAAGACATTTGAAGCAGCTTTGATGTCAAAGAACTGAAAATGTCACCACATACCACTGTCTTCCAGAGTGGCCCACCAGCTCAGACCATCCTCCCTGGAGCAGTTCTCCCTCAAGCACCATGCCATCTCTGTTACTAGGCACAGTGATTCAGTGACAAGGCGTGAGCAGCAGAGCCACGGGATGAGGTAGGTGTGGTTTGCTTTCTAAAACCCCATGTCTTTACACAGATGCCTGACTGGCCAACTGCTGGTGGTATCCAGTGAGGGACTGGATGCTGACCAGAAATAATACAGAATATTATTTCTTCTCAGTGAACTACAGGCAAGCATTTGTCCTTCAGTGGGACTTAGAGAGTCCTCGAGTAAAATTGCAACTTCTTCTTGGCCAAGTCCAAGAATTCTATGGATTGTAGCTCACTGATGACTTCTGTTGTTCAACCATTAGCTTTAGTCTCAACATGTCTGCTGAGTGCAGGATTGGGGGCCCATATTAAACTATGTCATTTAACTTCCCTTCCCTTTCCAGATCACCAGAGTAGTCCTAGGTACCAGAACTTTCCAAAGTGAAGAAGGTAGGAATAGGCTGCGCTGATGCCCTCATCAGTCAGAAAACCTTACTTGGAGGGAATCTAGTGCTTCACAGACTGAGAAACGGGAGGAGCAGGACAAAGGGAACAAAGAGCTCACAGAGAAGGCTGAGTGAGAATGTACAAAAAAGGAAATAGAAGAAAAACTGGTGGAAAGAAGGGCATTAAGCAGGGAAACTCTGTCCCTTTATAAGCATGTGACACATCTTAACTCCAGTCAAGATGACAAATACAACAGATTTAATGTGAGTGTAGTGACTTCCCAAAAGCTACAGTAATAATCAGAGCTAAGTTTCTGGAGATGCACTGTGAACACCATTTACTCACAGAGACAAAAGGACTGGAATGTATGTGGCCTGTACATAGATTCTTTCTCACAAAGATGGTTGAATTATTTCTGCCAAATAGTGGGTAAATTCCAAAGCTGAGGGAAAGGTGTTTCCAATGTAAAAAACAAACAAACAAACAAACAAAGGAAGTGATCATAATCAAACCTTTTCTCCAGCTGACACTGTGTAGCTACTGGTGTGGCAACAGCAATGACCAGAGAGTGAATCTGGGGAAAGGTGCGTTGCAGTAGAGAACTAGACATGACTGCATCCAGAAACCTCTTAGTCACTCATCCTCACTTCAGAGACAGCCCTGCTTAACTTTTCCCAAGATATCAACCCATTCAGCACCTCAAATTAGGTCTGAAAAGACTGAACATTGTCTGGTTCTTGAAAATGCCACCTTCATGTTGGCTATAATGGCATTTGCCTATAATTCCAGTACTTGGGAAATAAACACAGGAGTGCAATGCCATCCGTGAACATATAGTGAGGTCAAGACCAGCTGGTGCTACATGAGAATTGGCCTCAAAAAAAAGAAGAGTAGAAGGTAAAAAGAGAGAGGCAGAGGGAGGGAAAAAGAGGGAGAAGGAAGGAAATTAGTTGAAATGAAAAAAAGAAAAAGATTATAAAATATGCCTCCAAAAATCTCTCAGGTGGGTCCTACAAATGACCTCCTTTAAGCTAATCACCTGACCCTCTTTAAGCCAATCACCACCATCCTTCCACCACACACGAGTTCCCTCAGTTTCTTAGCTTTCCTCATCTGGTGTGAGTTCCAGGCATAGCTATTTTATTATATCCCCTCTAAATACCATAAGCAGCCCTTTGATGTTGAAGGACCTGAAACACAGGCACCATTTCACAGGGCATCTCATCAATCCAGACTAAAGGGGAGCCATCACTTCCTCAATTTCTAAAATAGAGTTTATATAGAGAGCCCCTGGTGACCCTGGCATTTTCACTATGCTGTTCCTCCACAGATTTACCAGAGATTGCTAAGTTCCAAAGCTTTTACTGTCACCTGGGTAAAGCCTCTTGCTGGGTTTCTGGGTCCAGGGGAACATCTCACCTTCCATACAACTGTGTCCTTTATGCTTTTCCTGCCTGCCTCCTCAAACAGGCCCCGGACAGCAGACCTGAGGAACAGCAGCACAGTGACAGAGTTCATCCTTGTGGGCTTTGAGCAGAGCTCCCCTTCCACCCGGGCATTGCTCTTCACCCTCTTCTTGGCTCTCTACAGCCTCGCCATGGCCATGAATGGCCTCATCATCTTCATAACCTGGACTGACCCCAGACTCAACAGCCCCATGTACTTCTTCCTTGGACACCTGTCTTTCCTGGACATCTGTTTCATCACCACCACCATCCCTCAGATGTTGATCCATCTGGTGACCAAGAATCACACTGTCTCCTTTGCCTCTTGTATGGTCCAGATGTACTTGGTCTTTCTAGTGGGTGTGGCTGAGTGCATCCTCTTGGCTTTCATGGCCTATGACCGGTATGTTGCAATCTGCCACCCACTGAACTATGCCCAGATCATGAGCCATCAGGTGTGTGTCAGGCTGGTGCTGACTTCCTGGATCTTTGGGATGGTCAATGGCATCTTTCTTGAGTATATATCATTCCGGAATCCCTTCTGCAAAGACAACCACATAGAAAACTTCTTCTGTGAGGCCCCCATAGTGATTGCCCTCTCCTGTGGGGACCCCAAGTTCAGCATGAAGCTGATCTTCGTTGATGCCTTTGTAGTGCTTTTCAGCCCCATGGTGCTCATTGTCACCTCCTATGCCCGCATCCTGGCCTCCATTCTTAGCAGAGCCTCCTCCTCAGGTCATGGGAAGACCTTTTCTACTTGTGCCTCCCACCTGACTGTGGTCATCTTTTTGTACACCTCAGCCATGTTCTCCTACATGAATCCCCGCAGTACACACGGGCCTGACAAAGACAAGCCTTTCTCCCTCCTCTACACCATCATCATCCCCATGTGCAACCCCGTCATCTACAGCTTCCGCAACAAGGAAATGAAGGGGGCCATGCGGAGGGCCCTTGGGAGAGGCAACCTGGCTTAGGCTGCACCTGCCCAGAGGCCCTCTGGAGAAGTTTCCTCAAATGGGGATGGAAGGTTACTGAAGCACAATCTGAATTAGTCTTATCAATAAAAACCCAGAGTTGGATATCGAGGTAAAAGCTAAAAAATCAGAGAAGCAGAGGAACAGCCATAACCACTTCACACCTCTCTGAATCCTCAACCCCAAAGGGTCAAGTTCATGTCTATACCACACTTTGTCACTTCCTATCTCCACTCTGTACAGACATCCAGACCTCTATGGTTAACTAGTGACTAGCTCCACCCTCCGATCTCCTGTCAGAACACAAACAAAATATCACACAACAGGTTACTTTTCCCAGCCCTTGCTTTCCAGTTCTGGAAAGGGACTAGAAAAGACTATTGGCAGCTTCCTTGGCACTAGACTCAGACCTGTAAGTTTCTCCTGACGTCTAAGGCTCATTTCTGACTTAATTTCCAGAATTGTTTTTCCATGAACTTTCCTTAGGAAGATGTGAGGCTTCCCTGAATTTTTCCTCTGTGTTTCTCAGGATTCAATGAATAAGTGCATTTAACTTTATCTTGTTGGAATGATTCTTTTACATGCCACGATGATTTTTGCACATATGTGTAGGAATAGATAATCTCTTAACCTTTTAATATGCCATTTTAGTCTGCTTTTTAAAATATATCTTTAACTGAAACAGAATTACATTAATTTAACCTTATGGAGTCAGGTTCCTACCCCACTCCCAGACTGAGAGACTGAGTATCATCTTCCTTCAGGATAGACCTGGAAAGACCTTCCCTGGGTCATGAAACTGACAGTAAGTTTCCAAGATTTATATACATCTCGAAGGACCAGAGGAAAAAATATCAATCACAGGTGTTCTGATTCTGTGAGAAAAGGAAGATGAGAGACTTACAGCCAAGAAGAACCCTATTCTAAAGTTATCAGACTGAGAGGAGGTATAGGCCTTCCAGGTCACCATGGAGAAAGAGAAGGCATCTTCTACCCTAGAGGCCTGGCTTCTCTAAGTGTGAAATTCCAATCTGCAAAAAGCCTTTGAAGAGGAAAAGAAAAATGGTCATGGGAAGGCAGAGAAAGAAAAAAGTATGCTTTGAGAATCTTTGAGAAATAACTTCATAGCCTTACACCAGGGGTTCTCAATGTTCCTAATACTGCAACCCTTTGATACAGTTCCTCATGCTGTGGAGATCCCCGACCATAAGATTATTTTCATTACTACTTCATAACTGTAATTTTGCTACTGTTATGAATCATAATGCAAATATCTGTGTTTCCCAGGGGTCTTAGGAGACCCCTGTGAAAGAGTCATTTGACCCTCCCACCAAGGGTTGCAACCTACAGGTTGAGAACCACTGCCTTATAGTTACCTGGCACTGATAGACAATGAGATTCAATTCAGCAAAAGAGCCAGCATTACTAAACACCCCATGCAAAGCACTATTGGAGCACAGATAACAGCAGCACACGTTTATTAGGTCCTAAGACCCTTAAAGTTGGTCCCCATAATAATAGGATCTTTATCAGATACTTGATATTTGATATCAAGACCAGAAGTTTCTAGTGGTGGATCACACATTACATAAAGGGCTTGGCTGCTATTCTCACTCAGGTGCCCTGGCCCCAGAACCTATGCCTCCTCTTCTGGCATGACACTGCTGTTGTCCTCTTGACCTCTTTCTCAGCAGCTGTGATTATCTGTAGGTTACCTGCATAAACCATTGACTGCATCACTGAAGAGGCGGGGCTTATGAGACCCTTCCCCTTCCTAGAGACACCTGGGTAGTTAATGGATAGAGGGGGCAGGTCTCAGGATATCCAGAGTTAAGGGCTGCAAAGAGAGAAACCTTTTCTTTAGGAGCATACCTGCCCCTAAGTTGTCACTGACCTCAGTTAAACTCATTGGTTCACCAGCTGCACTGGAATGGAATTTTGTTACTGTCCTCAGCTCACCTCAGAGGTTCAGAAGAGGTAATGTTAGCTAAATCATGAAGAATACAGAGGAGCTGTAGAGTGCAAAATGGAAAGGGGTGCTCGCTGTTAGGACTAAAATTCCAAACACACAATAAAGAATCCATTCCTTGTAGTTATGCGGTCAACAAGCATTTCAGACGGTGAATTGGAGTCAGGAATGCTGAGAAATCAGACCCGGAGTGACCTAGGATTGTCCTTTCAAGGCCTCCCAGTTGGAAGGGAGGACTCACAGCCAAGCTACTGCCTGTGCCAGCTCTCCCCACCTGCAGCCTCGGACTGTCCCTCGGAAGGGAAGAGCCCCAGGGTCCACAAAAAGCTAGACAACTACTAGAAGAAGCTGCCCTGGAAGTGCTCGCCGGGTCCCAGCTTATAATTAAGCTCTAGAGTTAGCTAAGCCCCGCCCTAGGACCCAAGGGATGGGAAGGGAACCTAGACGTTCTCTCTCTGATCCTTCGGGTCCTTTCAAATCTCCCTGCCCAGCTCCACCTGGCGGCAGCACCCAGCAACGCTGACAGTGACCTGATTAGAACCACCGAGCCTACGACCAATCAGTCTCTCAGCGCACCGCTGTGCAGCCAATGAGAGCCGTCCCCTTGACCGCTCCTCCCGCGCCGGATCCAGATTTGTCAACCTCAGAGAAACAAGGTCTATTTCAGGAAGTGACTGCAGAGGCCTCGGTCCGCAGAACCCGGGACTTGAGATACCCACCCGACGAGTTCCCCTCCCCTTCGGCAGAGGCTGGGATGTAGGCGGAGCACAGCCAGGGACCTTGACCAATCATATTAGGCCTCGGTAGCTGCCAGTCCTTTCCGAGGATGCAGAGCCTAAATCTTTCCAAGCGATAGCTCCATTTTTAGCGAATTGTGTAATGCTGGGCTGCACTTTACCACTGGGAAACAACTGCAGTGTCCTCAGACGACTTATGGCCCCCTTTCAGTTAACCGTTCGAAGAAACCCTCCTGACAGTCAGTGGGCTCGCTGAGTTCCCATAATTTGTATCTTATCGCTGTACTCCCCCGTTGTTTTATAATTCGTTTACTTTTCTATCTAACTAATACATGATTAAGTTTTCAGGCCTTGGCAGAAGTGCTTTGACAGTAAGGGGATGTTGT